AGCAACCTCAGGGATTGAATAGAGCATGCAGGACAGAGTCGAGCTGGCACCTGTGTGTGCTGGTGAGTATTTGCTGTGCCAAGTGTGTCCATGGCTGTGCAAGGTGGTGTGGGTTTTTGTAGGGGGGCCAGATCTCTCCACCACTGCCCCAGGGATCATCCAGGAAGTCCAGAAACTCACATAAGTTAACCTTGGTCTCTAGTGTAAATGGTACTTTATTGTATTTGGCACAGCACACATCCTAAATATTCCTATGCAGTGGTCTCTGCTCAACTCCAGATACAATGTCATCTTTGCTATTCCTCAAACATACCAAAAATGGCCATGCCTCAGGGCCTTTGCACTTGCTTTCCTTTTTCTTGGACTATTCTGCCCACAGGTGGCTTGCTTGCTCACTTCCTTCATGTCTCTGCTTATATGTCACCTTGACAGAGAGGCCATTCCTTACCACCCAGTATATATTAGCAGACCGCCCCTACCATCAACATCCCTCTTACCCTGCTGTATTTTTCTCCATAATCTTTATCACTACCTGACATATTGTATTTTTATTTATTTATTGACTATCTCTTTTCTATAAAATTCATGATGACAGGGATTTTTTCTGCTGTAGTTTCCCTGTTATCTAAAAAATTGTCCAGCACATAGTAGGCACTCAAAAAATATTTCTTGAATGAATTAATTAATGAAATTGCCTCGAATCTCCAGCACCAGACGTATAAAAAGCAGCCCGTAAATGTTTCTTGAGTAAACAAGTAAAATTTTGACCTGATTTTCTTTTTTTAAACAGTAGAATTTTAACCAGTTGCCATCAAGTCAATTCCGACTCATGGCAACCCCATGTGTGTCACAGTAGAACTGTGCTCCATAGGGTTTTCAATGGCTGATTTTTTTGGAAGTAGATCACCAGACCTTTCTTCCAAGGCACTTCTGGGTGGACTTGAACCTCCAGCTTTTCAATTAGCAGCAGAACACATTAATTGTTTGCACCACCCAGGGACTCCAAATAGAATTTTAGAGGTTATCCATTCCATCATTTTACCCAGGGTAGGAATCTCCCCATCTCCAACAGTCCTGACTCCCAGGCTTCATTTAAACGCTATGGAGGGCAGCTATACATTTTGGCAGAAAAGAAATAGAGAAAAATGTTTCTAATTTAAGTTTTCTTACTATGAAATTGGTGGTATTCAGATGTAGCAATTATAAAGAGTACACATTTTTAAATTAGTTTGTGTGTGTGTGTGTGTGTAAATTTAGGAATTTATTGGTGCCATGTCACACACTGCAGGTGAAATAGGCACTGCAGAGGGCAGAACCAGAGGCTGGCATCAGAACTAGAGGCTGCCATTGGGAGAACAGAGCAGAACCAGAGACTGGCAGTAGGAGAGCAGGGACAGAACCAGTGGCTGGCGTCAGGAGAGCAGGGCAGAACCAGAGGCTGGCGTTGGGAGAGCAGGGGCAGAGCCAGAGACTGGTGTTAGGAGAGCAGGGCAGAACTAGAGACTGG